GATATGGGGTTTTTTATTTTAACTTAAAGCATGACTTTGCGCTTTGGCCCAGAGGCATTGTCTCTGTCATTGGTGTGGAACCCCAGGGTACACCTCCTGGGAAAGGTCGAATCCCAGTTATGGTGCCTTCCAGTGGACTCACTCGCTGATGCGATGCAGTGTGACTTGGGTACGTAAGGGAATGGCGCTGATCTTTTGTCATTTACACTCATTTATGATATTTAATCTCCACTTTTTCTCTTGTTGTTGTTGTTGACCTACAGGGTAGTGGTGGAAATTGGACTACTGATGGTCGAAGACAAAGAAAAAGAGGAGGACGATTGATTCGGACAAAAAGAGAAAAGAGGAAGAATAGAAGTGTTGGTCTGAAGTTTGGAACTCTGAATGTAGGTACAATTACAGGGAAAAGTAGAGAACTAGCTGATATGATAAAGATAAGAACAGTAGACATTTTGTGTGTGCAGGAGACCAGGTGGAAGGGCAGCAAGGCCAGAAACATTGGAGGAGGCTACAAGCTGTTTTATCATGGTTCGATGGTAAAAGAAACGGAGTAGGGGTGATCTTAAAGGAAGAATATGCAAAAAATGTGGTGGAGGTGAAATGAGAGTCAGACAGGTGACTCCTGTCTGAGTCACCTGTGACTCATTCTATTCACACAGGTGACACACACTGATGTGTGTGAAGGTAGAAATAGAAGGAGTGATGATAAATGTTGTTAGTGGTTATGCCCCACAGGTGGGCTGTGAGTTAGAAGAAAAGGAGAAGTTCTGGAAGGAACTGGATTGGATGATAGAGAGTATCCCCAGGGGAGAGAAAGTGGTGATTGGAGCAGACTTTAATGGTCATGTAGGGGAAGGGAACAGAGGAGATGAGGAAGTGATAGGCAGGTTTGGCGTTAGGGAGAGAAACTTGGAAGGACAGGCAGTGGTAGTGGTATTTTGCAAAGAGAATGGAAATGGCTGTGGTAAACACATATTTCCAAAAGAAAGAAGAACACAGGGTGATGTACAAGAGTGGAGGCAGATCCACACAGATAGATTATATTCCATGTAGAAGAGGTAATCTGAGGGAGATTAATGACTGTAAGGTGGTGTAAGGTGAGAGTGTTGCCAAACAACATTGCATGGTAGTGTGCAAAATGACGATGGAGGTGAAAAAAAGGAAGAGAGTGAAGACAAAGCAAAAGATCAAGTGGTGGAAATGAAGGAAAGAGACATGTTGTGAAGACTTCAGGAAGAAAGTAGGGGCAGTTCTGGGCTGTGTTGAGGAATTCCCAGAT